AGGAGAGCCGGGCCCCTTCCACACCGGCACTTGCCCCTATAGCAGGGCTCCAAAGAGGCACTGGGAAGGACCCAGTTTCCCTTTGGGTGCTATTTCCATTAGCAAAAAGGCATCAGCTGAAGCATGAGTCTTTATTTCCCCAGAGATTCCTGAGGAAGTAACCTGACGTTTCTGGAGGAAGGCATGCAAGGAAAAGGCTCCTCAGAGGCCACATGTCTCTAGTTGGCAGCATGAGGTTCAACAGTATAATTGCCCCATCAGAAAACATTCAGCATTTGAGATGAAAAACTCCAAATTTTTGAAATTGGGGATAAATCTCTGTTATGTACCTTCCAGGAGGAGGTTTTTAGACTGAAGGGAGTTGTCATAGCCCTGAGAGATTTAAGGTACTTGAGTTGTTTTAGTGGCAGCAACAGTCTTTAAGCATCTCCTTCAACCGTCAGAACCCACCTGCATCAGCGAACACAACTTGATGAGGAACGCAGCTCCCACAACCCACCGCAGCATGAACAGGACCATTGCCCTGGCATCCCCAAGGCCTCACGGACCCCAGCATGGGATGACCACGAAGCATGAGGTCCCCGCAGCCTCCTCCAGCCAAATGTGAGAGCAGCGACGGCACCGCGCACCTCGCTGCCAGCCAGAGCCTCACCAAGAGCCTCGAGCAGCCCTGACCACCGGCAGCAGCTCGTGGGCACCCAGCCCCTTACACACCCAACAAGCACGCGGAGGGAGGAAAGAGCGCAGACAGCGACCAATGGAGACTGCGTTTACTTTATTTCTCTTTTTTTCATGGTACGCAGGCGGCTGTCCTTGCTTCTGTGAGCTCCTCTGAGGCGGCAGGGGACAGCAGGGAACCTGCATCCGCTCCCACAGGGACACACGAGGCTGCAGCGACATCCCCTGTCCCCCAGTGGCAACATCCTGTGTTTCCCAGCCCGGGAGCCCCCCAGGCTCTCCCTGCCACAGCAGCGGGACAAGGGGTCTCTCCCTGGGCTCCTGCCTGCAGCTGTGGAGCTCAGGAAGAGGCAGGCTCAGGCCAGGCCACCTGGCTGCAATGCAGAAGCATGAAGTAAAAAATAACCCACATTTCCACAGGGGTCTTGATATAAACACTAGAGATCTCTACAACCACAAAACCCCTCCAATTCCCTCCCCCCCCACCAAAAAAAAAAAAAAAACAAAACCAGTGCAACCCAACCATCTCTATCTCCAGCAACGAAGACCAGTACAAACTGGAATCTTATTATTAACGGTCAAGCTTTGAGGAGGAAATTGAATTCCATAGCATGGGATTTTTGCAGGGCAGTGTGGTGGGAAACTCTCTAACAGCATCTATGCACAGACAATATACAAGGGTCACTCGGACATCATTCAGTTTTACTTTTATTTATTATTTTTTTTTTGCCTTCTGGATCACCAACACCCTGGTTGAGGCTTCTTTGGGATTCCTCCCCCACCCCCAGGAGGGCAGCACAAGATCTCCCAGCTCCTTCAAGCAAATAAACAAGGAAAAACAGAAAAAAAAAAAAAAATCCCTGCAAGATCATTCAGCATGGGGCCAGATCCTTGTTTTGAGGGGGCAGCTACAAATTCAGTGGCAACAGCACTGGCTTCAAGAAACCAGACTGAAAAGGAGGCCTAGAAAGGGGGAAAACAGGCTAAAAAGTATTTAACAATCCTTCCTCTACCCAAAGAGCAGGGAGATAAGGAAAAAATAGGCATCTGAGTACACACAGGGTATATATTTTTACACACACTTTTACACACATCTAGCTATAGTACATGTAAAAATATATGCTATACATCCGCCCATTCTCACCAAGGTGCTTTTACTACACCATCCGCACTGTGTAAGGGCATGTATACGTGTGTATGAATTAATGTACAGGTACTAAGTGTATATGTGCATATGTACACATACATACAGGCAGGCAGCCCCCGCCAGCCACCCTCACCTCCTCTGTACTAACACAGAGCTCCCAGCGCGCGACACCACCGCGCTCCCGGGCCCAGCCCGCTCCCACACAGCTCTCCCCTCCCCGTAGCAGCTTCTTTCTCAACAAGCAATTCAAGGAAAAATAATTAAGGGGAAAGAAAATAAAAAAAAGAAAGCAAAGTGTGTGCAGCTCAGGCCTGTACTTTCTGTGGTCCTGTGCCAGGGGTAGGGTACATTTTTCCTCTTGGGATCAGCTGACTAAATACTACCCCATCCCTCTTTGCCATCTTATTGCACATGTTAGTTCCTGGGCTGCATTTTGACACTCCTGCATTACATTCTACAGATCCGGTCACCTCTCACTTCAATAAAATAGAGAAACAAAAACCCACGACCCTGTCCCTCCCCCCATCCCCATCAAAAGGGAAAAAAAATAAAATAAAACCCAAGAAAGGCTGCTTGCTAGCAGAGTGCAACAGTAGTACACACTGAATAGGTGTTCTCTTCAGGAGCTTGGTGGAAGAGAGGTTATTTCTAACACAGTAAACAAAGCCATGCAAAAGGTGGGAGAAAGGGGGCAGAAGGAGGAAAACTTAAAGGATGAGAAGGAAGAACAGAGGGGAGGAGGAGAAAGAACACCACAGCATGGCAAGTGCTCAAGGCTTCATGTTTTGTTGTCCTCTTCTTGTAAACAAGCTAATAATTCTCATTAGATAGAACAAGTAAAAAGACTGAAGTTCCAAGTTGAGGAGCTGGAGTTTCCAGGAGTCCGTTCAGTCCATTCAGCAACACCACAGCCAGTGAGAAAAAAACGAGAGGGGATTTTTTTGTTCTTTTTTTGTTTTGTTTTAAAATCTTCATTACTTAAAGCTGAGAGAAAAAAGCCAACTCAGGAGCCCTTTTCAAAGATGGCTCATTGTCTCTAGACTGAATAAATCACACTAGTTTCGAGAGAACCTTTTTTCCTTTTTTAATGACTTATAAAAACCACGCGGTTCCTTGCTCCCTCTGCGCTCGGCTCACAGGCGGGTCTGCGCCTCGGGGACGTAGATCTCGATGCTGTCGGCGCTCTCCGTGGCCGAGTTCTGCCGCACGGAGGCCGCGCGCTTGGCGGCCATGAGGCGCTTGCGAGCTTCCTGGCGCTGCTTGTCCGAATCGGAGGCTTTGTCCCGGTTCAGTTGGGTTTTGGACTTGGCTGGCTTCTTTGGCACTGGAGGGGGTGGTTTCTTCTCTTCCTTTAGGGAGACAGTAAGGAAAAACCCGAACATAAAATAAAAATGCACATACAGAAGGTTGCTGTCTAAGGGGGGGCGGCTCTGCAGTGCTGCTAAAGCAACAGGACCGCAAGGTGGTTGAAAGAGGCAGGAGCAGGTCTCAAGCAAGGCCCCCATCCCACCACCAGCTTCCCAATTTCTGGAATTGGATAACTGTGCATTGACTGGCACAGAGGATGGGGGTTACATCCTACCTCTGTGGCCCAGCCAGTGATCAGAGCTCAGGACACACAGTATAAAAACCAGACTTTATGCTGAAATTGCAAAATTTTAGTAAATGCCCAGAATCATAGTACTTTCCCCCAACATGGCTGGTTATAAAAACCTGGCCCATGATTGCAGCCACATCTTCAAAAGGTTCCAAGCAGATGCTTTTGGCACTACTCGGGACAGAGCAGTTGCAACCTATATAGGCAGGGCTAAACACTAGAGAGCTCCGTATTACTTCTCCAGGGGTACACAGCTCATCCCTCCACTACTCTCCCCATCACAGCAGCTTCTCCCCTTGTACAAAATATTTTCCTGCATTACTCAAGAGGAATGTTCTTAATGCACTGCAAACCTACCTGCATGCATGGGGAGGATGGCTCATGGACCCTGCAATCCCTTAGCTGACCAAGCGCTAAAAGCACCACGAAGGGCAGATACATTATGGAGAGATTACATGGCACAAGCAGGAGACGGTAGCAATTTTACAAGTTTTTCTCTTCACAGACAGAAAGAGCAGAAGTACCTGTGATACCCCAGGCATCTGATGCGTCCTGGGCACTCCAACCTGCCCCACACTCACCTTTCTCTCCGGTGTCTCTGCCAACTGCCAGCTGTTGGCTTTCAGGTGGTACAGCTCATCGAATTTCATGCTGATGTCTTCGATGGACAATTGCAGGAGGTCCCAAAACCCAGCTAGGTCCTGAGCTGTGGGTCTGGGATTGGCATTAGGATTCTATGGGGAAAAGCATTAAAAAGATTATTAGAACATACCCTGCCCCTACCAGCTGTAGCAGTCTGGGTGGCTACAGATTCACTTGCTGCAATTCTACCCTCCTGACAACCAAAACTGCAAATCCCGTAGGAGATCCCAGCCCTAAATGCTGCGACAAGGCCACCATCCACTGGCGAAGACTCTGTGTTTAAAAACTGGGATGGCATTTTTTCTGACAGAAGCCCAATGAAGAATCCCGAAAAGGCACTTAGAGCAGAAAGCAATAGCTCCCCTCTTCCAAAGGCTTCCCTGGCCAGTCCCAATTCCACTGCAGCATCCAACGAAGGCCCCAGGACACACTTCAGAGCTAGAACACTTAGTTTCTTGTTCAAACGTCCTGACATCAGAGTAACAACAAGGACAGGAGCTGGACAGCACACAGGGTGCAGCACAGCTCTGACACCCGCAGAACGCGCACGCAACACTGTATAGAAACAGAGCTTGTGGCAAGCACTTTGCTACTTTCCCTAGCACAGCAATCTGGAACTGTATCACCGATCTTCAAGTGAGGTTGAAAAACCAAGCTCTTCAGTCAACTTCTGCCAAATGGCAACAGATTTTCCCCAGCTCTGAGGGTGTGAACTGCCATCATAGCCCTGGATTGTCTGAGGAAAACAAGGGATCAGAGGGGAGTAGATGGGCACAGGAGCTGTCAAAGGAAGACCTCGGCCCACAGCTTTGCCAGCCCAGCTGCTGCTTTCACTGCTCCTAATCTCTCAGCTATGATGAGCCAGAGATCAGCACGTGGATGTTCAACATTTCACCACCTCCTCCTCTTCCTAACTTTTGCTAAGTTTCTCACCCATAAAGGGAAATTAACCTCTGTGGAAACTAAAAAAAAAATGAAGTCACCTCCTGTTCTCCTCCTCAACAGATTCCCACCTGGCCCTGAGTCAGCCCCACGTTGTTTTGAGCAAGGGCAAACCCTTACATTGCATTTGAAGAAAGCAAATCCAAGCAGTGCCTTGCAACCACCTAGGGACATCCCTAGGGAGATGATTAAGCCATCTATACAATCCACACAAAAAGCAAGGATACAAGGAGGAACTGCAGGTTTTTCAGGCACCTCTCTGTTGGGGAAAACCTCCATGATTCAGTTCAAAAAGCCTCAAGAAAGTAGAAATAAATAGGATGGTTTCGGGACACGCAGTAGCATGGTGAGGAAAAGATTCGGACTCAGAAGTCATAGACTTCTAGCATGCCCTGATCAAAGGAAATTCTTCAGGGCTCACATGAGCACCAAAAGGAATTGTAAACACTCAGCCCTGAGCAAGTGACACCTAAAAAAAGTGCATGTTCAGAACAGACACCAAAGCCATCAGCCTTCCCCTGCCCAGCTGCTGTTTCAAAACATCTTCCATCCATCATGGCACGACTGTCCGACCGCACAGCACAGCTGCTGGCCTTGCTGCAACACTGTCGCACTGACGGCAGCCCATTAATATCCACTTACATCCCTGCAACGCAGCCGGGAGAAACCCAACCCCCTCACACAAACCCAGAGAAAGATCTGGACTCACCAAGTTCTGCTCACAGAGGCCGTGGAACTGCTGGAACTTCTGTGACATTAGTAACTGTGCACTGCCCACCGCACTGAGGACTTTTCCTAAGACTGTGGGAGGGGGGAAAAAAAGCCATGGTTAAATGAACTGTTAAACACGCCAAGATGTCTCCTAACAACCGTTTAATTGGAATTACATTTGTTCTGAAAGTAAAACTGTCCTTTTCACTTACTATTGCTCCTTCTAGGAGCAGAACTGCACCAAAATCACTACATGAAGGAATGCTGAAGGCTACTAAAGGTCCTAGCAGATGAGCTCAGCTTCAGTGACCCCATCTACAGGCACAAGTTCATGTGCTCTTCCACTCACACATGAGGGAAAGGTGGCCCAAGGCAGGAGATCAATCTTCAACCTTCATTTACCAGAAGGATTTCAACTACCAGCAGGCTCTGGCTTTTAATGGTGACACTGTTAAAATCCAGGACTCGAGGCTGGTCTCAGTGGGGTCCCCAGGGAGCCTGGGATATGGTTCATTAAAGGAAAACAGCCCGGTACGAGGCTCTTCCTTCCAAAGGGGCATTGGGAAACATGGAGCCACATGGAGATCCACGACTAGGGATGAACAGATGCCCCTCTCCCTTTAGTCCACACGTAATTTGGCAAATAAAAGCAAAATTACTCCCCACTCTCTAAGTTCTTGTTACATAACTTAGCAAAGACTGCTCTTAATGCTACTGATAACACCACTCTAGTCCCCATGTGCCAGGCTACAACATCTTGGCACATGAGCTGCCTCCGCTCGCAGCGGGGACGGCACGCTACAACCGAGTCTCACCATCACCTCACCTCATTAAAAGATAAGAAAGAAATAAAAGACAGGGCCAAAATAAAGATCAGGCCCTCTGCAACCAAGTACCTAGTTTTCCCACTCTGAGCACCCTATGCACTCGCTACCACAAGAAACAGAATTTTGCTTAATCATTTGAAAATAAAAGAACAAGGCCTGCTAGGGACTGAACCCTCTGCAATTAAATAGCTTTGTGCTCACTATACATGTATTTTGGGGTGTATTTAGCATGAATTAAATGAAGATGGCCTATATGAAGAAGCCTCTGTTGTGAGGACAAGTCCACCAATTTAAAGGGTCACTAACAGGTTCGGAAGTTGTAGTTCTCTCCACCTCACTGTCAAAAGGACTCTCATAAGCCTACTTGAACATAGCAGGACAGGCAGGAACAAGGACCCACCACTGCCTCCTAGAAACAATCTGTTTAAGTGATTAAACGTCTTGACTGGTCAGAAGCTTCCACCACCATCCTAAAGTCTTTCCTGCTACATCTTGGTATTATTTCCTAACAGGAAAGAGTAGCCTCCTCTACCTCCCTATCCTCTTCAAGAACAAACTGTTCCTTGCTGTACCTGCATGTTCTACCCTACCCTACTAGCTACCAGAAAGTAAGTGCAGAAAGGTGATTCCAATATTCAGCCTCAGCTCCCACTCAAAGGAGCTGCTAGGCTGCTCCAGTCTGGTGTGCAGACATCAGCAACACCTACCTTCTTCAGAGAGGTTGTTCTCTTTGGTCTCCTGGTCCATCTGACGGCACCAGCCTTCCAAGCGCTCCGTTTCGGCCTGCAGCAGCTTCAGGAACCAATAGCCGTCCCGCCGGCAGGCCCCGGGCTGCGTGGGCTCTGACGGCGACGTGGAGGACGTCTCGAGCCAAGGGTCAGGAGGAGGGAGAGAGGAAGGCTCCAGGGCCGGGTCACTGTTGTCTCCATAGGAGAGGTTTCTCTTAATCTGCGAGGGCTTGGCTGGTTGCCTGGTACTGGCATCAACACCAACGGAGTTGTTGTGTTGGGGGCACTCAGCAAGGCTTCTCTCAGATGATTTACAGCTCGAGTTATTAGGTTCTTGTGTGTCAGAGTCTGTGTCCTGTTTGGAGGACATGCTGCGAGAGTGGCTGTTTCTAGAGAGATCAAAAGCAAGTGTTGGATGGCAGAACTCACCCTGGCTGTCTTCATGTGCTACAAAAAAATGCATTTGCTTACGATGTCTGTAGCTGAGCCTCATCCTCACAGCCTCCCCTCCTCACGCAAACACACCCCACACGTTCAGACAAAATTGTACAGTTGCCTGCTTACTGCAATAGGCCATTCAGATGAGAGGACTGACGCACATCTATAATTACAACCCAAGCTTTTTTCCTTTTCGTTTTGCTTTTAAGCTTCAGACTCCCATTGATTTGGCTGTTTACAGAATAAGCGCTTTTTGCAGTGGCTACGTGCTGCAGAGGAAGAGCACTACGCAGAACCCCCGCCGTGCACCACCACCCATATGGAAACAGAGCCAGGGAGAAGGTCCAAACGTGGGGAGCGCAGCTCCAGGGAAAGCAGCAGGGATTACAAACATCTGCATCTCTCACTTACCGCCACTCGTCCTCTACCTGCACCCCGATGGACTGGAATTTGGTGGCTGGCGGAGGAGGCTCCTCTTTTGCCGCTGGCTGAAGGCAGTCAACCTTATTAAACAAAAAAAAATATAGACAAAAACAGACACAAGAACTTGCTGCTGGAATCCACGTTTGGGGAGCAGGAGGAGCTGCACAGACAGACAGCAATGGGCTGGGAAGGGCTGGGTATTCCCGAGGGAGCAGTTGTGCAGGTGGCAACACCACAGGCAAGGACCAAGCTACATGAGGGCAGCAATCTGCTTCACACGGACAGCAAAGTCCAGGCTCCTTCCTTTCTCTTGGAGATTGACACCCTCCTCAGCTCTGGATAAGAGGGTAAGAGGTTTCAGGAAGGGAATCCAGGCAGTGAGGCAGATACCTTAGGAATAGTCTTGAGTAGAGAGAAAAACTGGGGAGGAGGTGGCCAAGTTAAGCAGCCTCTGCAACAAGAGCTCCCTTGCACGCCCTTCAGCAGGTGCTGTATCCCACCAGCCACACAGAGAAGCCTTCACTGTAGCGGGCACCGAACTGTCCAGCCAAGGAGAGGCTAACAGAGAGCCCAGGTGTCACCGAGGAGGGACAGCGAGCACCAGCAGGGCTTCCAGCACGAGCAGCACTCGCTGCCCTCCACCGTGGGCGGCATGGGAGGCTCCGGCCTAACCACTTGAGCGTGGAGGATCTTAAACCAACTGCAGCAAAGGCACAAGCCCGAGGGTGAAAGAACTGTGAGAACAGGGATGCAACAGCTGAAAGGATCTGCGACAGCCCTGCATGGGTGCACGCACGTTGTGGCCACAAGGAACACATGCTGCAGTAGGACTCGCCCAAGGGCTGAAGTTCCTGTTTGTGGGTTGTAGCCTGCAGCACTCAATGAGACCTTTGGGACACACAGGTAGCTCAGTAGTTGGCTACCTACACCTGAGAAATCTGTCCACACCAAAGGGCGACAACTGCAGATGACTTCAGAAAATGCTTGCCAAATAGAGCATGGGTTTACCCTGCCTGGGAGAACATTGCACACCACACGGCACATGCAGGCCCCAGGTAGGAGCGTCTGCCTCAGAAGAAAGTAGCCCCTAGAACCACGATGGACAAGGAGCAAGATGACTTTAAATAATACATAGTGAAGCCCACAGTATCAACACATGCATATTTGCAGAAAACAAAAACAAAACACCTCTTTAAGGGAAGAGGCTCACCCAGTTAACACTTCCAATTGTATCAGGAAATACTTTAGGACAAAAGTAAAAAGTCAGTTATTTCTTTCTGGCCTGTAACAAGAACACTTTGCTGTATTTCACCTCTGGGTGCAGGGTAAGTCAGCTCTACAAACTACTTAATTTCTTCAGGCATTTTGGGTGGCCTCAGATGCCCACCTGGCTACACAGAACGCACACACTAGACAGATGGGTTAAGGACATGCCTTAAAGCATAAACCAAACTGTTCCATACTTGTATTCCTATAGACGACAGCTTTCTTTTGGGGACGTTCTCCGCTTTAGGCTCCTCGCTAGTCAGCGTCCCTTTGTCGCTTTTCAAAGTTGCATTTTTCTGGGATGCCTCCGGAGTCTCCCTGGCTGGAGTAACCACACTGCCTCTCGTCACGCTGGGCGTCCGCGTGCTGTCCAAGCTGTCCGAGGAGTTGCTCAGTCCTGACTGGCTGGTCACCTCGCTCTTGTGGTCCTGGCTGTCCAGGTAGGTGTCCTGTGCCGACTCGGTGCTGCTCTGCACGGTGACAGAGATGAATGGCTTGGACGTGGTCCGAGGTGGCACGGGAGGTGGAGTCTTTTTATATGCCACTAGGCATGATGAACCTGCATTGACGGAGGTGGGAAGAACAGAGAATGCGAGAGACAGATCGGAGTGACAGAGGCACAGTAAAAGAGAAAGAAAAAGCAGGTCAGTTACAACATTCGAGAGACACCCCCCAAGCAGAAGCTCGAGGCAGAAACAGAAACACAGTCTACAGCCAGCAGCTCACACCAGATAACCCGAACCAAAGCACAAGGGGAAGCAGAAGGCAGAGCCAGAGCTAGCTTGCAACAGTGCAGAGAAACACTGATGTGTGAAAGGGTGGAAATGGAGAGGAGATACAGAAAAGCCTCCCAATAATGCTACAAGGTTTGGCAGGTGCAGGCCTCTATGAAGGAGGAACTTGGGTTAAACCCTGTGCTTTAGCATCCCAGAACAGCCGAGTGTCTCAGCAATTTGTTCCCATCAGTTGTCAAGTTCCAGTGTCTGGACCACGGTGGCGTGCCCTTTTTTTTTTTTTTTTTTTTTCCTACAAAAATGGAAAGAAGCCATAAACTCTGTTAGATGCTGATGTTAGGTTTTTTTTTTTTTTTCTCCTAAAAAAAGGAAAAAAAGCCATAAAATCTGTTAGATGCTGATGTTAGGCATGGATGTCTGAAGTACTTTAGGAATCTAAGCTGCCACATTCCCATTCATACGCCCGGAGATGCCTAGAAGCACTGCAACAGCCTTGCTGAGCATCCACGCGCCTGGCCAGGGCATCGGGAATGTCTTCGGCCTGAACGGCAGCGTCTTCTGCAGCTCCGATCCGGGAAGCACATCCAGCCCTTCCCTCTGCTCACAGATCTGCAGACCTACCTGTAGCGCCCAGGCGGGAGGCAGCGCTCCAGCCCTATCGCTAGGACAGTTACCAGAAACACTTCAGAAACCCCCTCTACCAGAACTGCTGCCCAAGCAGATCACACCACGGCCAAGCTGAGCTTTGAGCAGACCCCATGAGACACTTGTGCCTTCCAGGACCCACCAGAAGAAAAGCACAAAGTCCCAGAACACCAGAACTTGGGAGGGCATCCAGCTCCCAGCTCCGGCCACATGGATCGGGCTGCTCGGAGCTTTGTCCGGGTGAGTTCTGAACATCTGAGGATGGAGTCCCACCACCTTTTGGGACCGTATCCCACTGTTGGGCCACGCTCACTAAGAGGAGATTTTTTCCCTCCTACTTGTGTAAAGCCACAAGCCTCAGCTTTAATGCTGCAGGTATTAAGGCATGAGCAGTGCAAGCAGCCGCACACTTTTGCGGGAATTAAAACTGACTGATTTTTTTTTAGATATCAAGACTAAGCACCCTAAGACAAGCAAGAAGAATCAGGGCTCTGGCTGGCATAGCCAAGTCTGTATCAAAAGAGAAGGGATAGATGGGATGGAGGCAGCAGGAGAGAGGCAGGAAAAGCTCCTGCAGAAGGTGCATCCGTGCAGCCTGCACAGCACAGCCAGAGTAGTGCAAAGGGGCGCTGAGAGAGGGAAGACGAGGGCTGGCCCGCATTAAACACCAACTCCTGAGCCCACATCCAGGCCCTTGACCCGCCTGCCTTTCACAGCACAAACCTGGGTGTGGGAGTGACGCCAGGTGCCTCCAGCCCCACAAAGTGCAGCACAAACTGAGCGGTGCCCCGACCGCCACAGGAGCGGGCCCAGGCCCCAAGCGCTCGTCCTGGCCCTGTTACCACCACCTGCAGGATGGGCTTCCACAGGGGGACCCCTGGCTGAGGAATAACCAGAAAAAGCTGTTTTGTTTGGGGACCGGGTTCTTCAGCTTCATCAGATCCTGATGTCTATGCAGTCACAGAACAGTGTACTACCCCGGTAAAGCATTCCGCATGCAAGCGCAGCTGAAACAGTCTTGTCCCCAAACAGAGCCCTCCCCAAACGCCCTCTTGGCACATTCTGAAATAACTCAGCTGCCACAGACACCAAGTTGCCCACAGAACACCTCTGAAGGCTGCTCTGGCAAGTGAAGGAAAGGAGCAGATCGCAACCCCAGACACACACTGCGGGAAGCACAAGAGTGACTCAAGCACTTTGCTCCTCTGCACTCACAGCTCCTACGGGAGCGGAGCATCCCGCAGAGCTGGCGACACTGCCGGAGCTCCGGGAGGTCGGAGTCCCACCAGCTGCGACAGCGAGAGGAGAGCCCCCGAGTGTTCCACAGGCAGGAATGAGAAGGATCCATGTGGGCGTTTGGCCAGCGCCGTCCACCACAACAGCAGCAACTCAAATCCCCCGCGCAGGTCCTGGGCCAGGTCCAAGGGCTGCTCCCTAGTGCTCACACTGTGCAGGAGGGCCCCTTCGTGAGCCTCGGTCACACTACCGGAAGGGGGTGAAGTTCACCTTGCCAAACACCACTGTACCAGGAGCCTGTGATGGCTCTCACCGAGAACAAGCAAGAGCCACCCGCGTAGGCAGGTGGCCTGTCCATACGGTCCTCTGGGTAGGTACCTCTTTCTCAGCCCTCTCGCGTGGCCTCTCTGGTCTCTCCTGTGCACAGCCCCAGAAGGCAGCGGTGTCCGGAACCGCCGGCGTGCCCTGCCACCCAACAGAGAGTCTCCGTGACGCTGCCGGGCACGGAAGCGGGAAGGGCTCGTGCTCTGGCACAGCTCTCCCAGCTGCTGCTCACATCCACAGGGCTGTTCCGTAATTAGCCAGATCAATCAATCGCTCTCCCAATATCCAACACTGCATCTAGGCCAAACAAGAGGCAGGCGGCCCAGCTCTGCCTAAGCAGCCGTCATCTCAGTACAGACAGGAACAGGCAGGATTTCCTGTGGAAGATTGGTGGTGCTTGGGGTCCCAAGGCTAAACTCCAAATTTAACATTCAACCTACCAATAAGAATAACATTTGTGGCGCCTTATACAGAGGGAAGTTGCAGCTTCCCATCTTATCCAGTTTCCAGCAATCCCTTCATTGCATCCTGCTCAGCTGAAGGGCAGCACAGATTGTGCTAAAAGGGAATCCCAAAGCAGCAGCAAAGTGTCCCCATGAACATAAGCATGAGGTCCTGAGTGAGCTAAAAGAAATGCTATAAGTCCAGTAACCGATACGGTGAGGAACACAAAGATCAGGAGCCTGGAACAGCTGGGGATGCTTCAGAGACGAGTGCAACTAAACATTCACCCTCCTCAATCATTCTGTGACCATAAGGCGGGGACACTCGTTGTGCAGCAGAGCCAGAGTCAACACTCAACCTAAAATGGGCTTAGAAGGCCGCAGTTTGAGTAAGCCCATCCAGAACACAACCTGCCATTCTCCCTCAACACGGATCCCAACTGAACTCCTGAGTTTCCTTGCATCTGTGGGGAAGAAGCAGGAAGGCTTAAAGAAGCTAAGAGCATCCTGATGTTCTGGCAATCGCAACGTGCTGCTGCAGCAACCAAGCAGGTAGCACCCAGGTGGCCTGCGAGCAGGACACCTCCTTACTCTGCTGTTTGCCCTGGGCTGCAGCACCATGAAGCCAAACCTGAGCACCAGCCAACATTCCAAGGAGGCGCCACAGAAAATAATACATATTATTTTATATATATATATATATATATTTATTATTTTTTATCCAGAGACCTCCTGACCCCCAAACCTGTTGGGCATATTCTCCATGTTCCTCTCCCTCTCCTTCTGGAGAACCAGGCAATTGCTCCTTGAAAGATCGAGGTGCAGGAGTCACAAAAGTAAGTTAAACAACACTGTTCACTCAAGGGGCCCCAGGTGAAGCACCAGCAGGCTGTGCTCCCCTCTCCATACCTGGCCGCACCACAGAGGTATTTGGGTTCAGATTTAAGTATCGTAGCTGCTGTCAAGTGAGAATCTGCA